ACTGGACCCCCACCTCAAAAAAAAAAAGAAATGTGCTCATTACCTTGCTCATGTAATTGTAACCCCTCTGTATAGTATTTTCACAATTAAAAAAATTCTTTTTAATAAAAAAAAAACAGTTTCAGAACAACACCAAAAAAAAGAAAAGAAAAGAAACGGGGGAGAAAACTGGAACATTAAAAAAAATGCCTTACCATTCTAAAAAGAATAGACAAACTTTCATCTCATCTCAGGATTAAGAACCAGAATGTGAGAATAATTGACTTTTTTTTTTTTTTGCCAATCATGGTGCCTGAACTCTGGGCCTGGGCGCTGTCCCTCAGCTCTTCAGCTCAAGGCTAGAGCTCTACAACTTGAGCTACAGTGCCACTTCTGGCTTTTCCTGCTTATGTAGTGTTGAGGAATCAAACCCAGGGCCTTATATATGCAAGGCAAGCACTCTACCACTGAGCCACCTTCCCAGCCCAATTGACTTTTCTTAAAAATAGAAAATGAAACTTGTGCCTTTCTTTGACAGATGTCTCTATTTTTCTTCTTGTTAAGTACCTTTGTCCAGGTAGTTCATTTCAAAACAATAATGCATATGAAATACCACAGGGTCTAATCTAACAGTCCAATAGTATAATTACAGGCATTCCCAAATATATAACTGTAATCTATTCTTGGTAATGTATAAGAAGAAACAAATATTTTATTATTTTTAATGGGAAAATTAATTATCTATTCTTAGTCCATGTAAAAACTCAACTGATTTTCCTAAGCATCATCAGAACTCCCTTAATCAGCTGGGCACTGATGGCTGATACCTGTAATCCCAGCCACTCAGGAGACTGAGATCTGATTATCGCAGTTCAAAGCCAGCTCTAGGCAGAAAATCTAATCTCCAATAAACCACTCAAAAACCAGAAGTAGACCTCTGGCTCAAGTGGTAGAGTCCTGGCCTTGAGCACAAAAAGGCTCAGGGACAGTGCCCAGACCCTGAGTTCAAGCCCTGTAACAGTCAACAACAACAAAAAGAACTGCCTTAATGATCTACATAATAATATACTAAGGTTGTATGTATTATTTAAAAATAACTTAATGCTTTAGTATTTAACATGTGATGAACTCATTAGTAAATATGTTTATGAGCATTATAGATATGATCAAGTATAAACTTGCCTTTTCCTTGTATATTACAATGAATATATATTTAATGTAAATTAACATGAAGGCAGAGTGTAAAAATATATATTGATGCAGTTAAATAGCAAATAAAATTAACAAATGAGGCTTAAGAATTACTTTCCTGAATGAGATTTTGTGTAGGGAGACCTTTCATTTACTGTGTAATGGTTTTAAATAAGGCAAACACTATGTTATGAAAGCATCTGAAATATGTGTGTAATCTAATCTCCTTCCTCTGTATGTCACTGTGAAAATTACATGGAGATTCCTTACAACAATTATAGATTAAAATAGTAAATTTATAGCTAAGGTATTGAAAAGCTGCTTTAAGTTTATATGAGATTTACATCTACGCTAAACTGAGAATAAAATTGTTATAACACATGAGTGAATCTAGAAGTGGAGTAGTGATTCTTAACTGGGAACAATTTTTTATTCTCAATGGGTGCTTGGCAATGCTTGTGAATATTTTGGGATATTACAAAATAGCAATCAGGAATGCTACTAAACATTCTATAATGCACAGGACAATTCCTCACAACAAAGAATAATGTATCCCAAAATATCAATAGTGCTGAGATTGAAGAACTCTGAAGGAAAGCAATGTCCATAGGTATATGTTTTATGCAGTCAACAATGATCAGATAAATTTGAATGAAGATAAGGCCTACTGAAGGTCTTTAGAATGATCAGAGGTGATTTAGGAGAAAGGTTCTGAGTGAAGGGGTGGCTTCT